CTAAAAAAAAACAGATAGATTGCTATCTCGTCTATAACATATACGACCATTCAAATAGAAAGTACGAATTAGCGGATTAGAGTTCTCGTCTGCTCGCGTTCATGCTAAGTGCGTTCGGCTAATTTTACGGTATATCCTGCGAAAAAGAGAGCTGTTTTTTTTTCATATTTCGAAATGACATCGAGCTCACCGAGATGTCTCAGGAGATCGTGTCTTCGTGTCGTGTCGCAAAATCTCTCTCCAAGTCACCTCCGAGAGGAACAAAAAAATTGCGGGTGATTGTTTCGCGATCGGGGCTATTGTCATCGTCAAAGCGAACCGTCTGTCTCCGTTTGACGACGTGACGGATATCACGGACTGGAAATAATTGCCTTGCTTTTTCTTTCGTCGTTCGTTATCCCGCGGATTTCAGTGTCGTTGCGGCCAGCGGACCGAGAAACGTCACTACGCGTCTTCCGGAATCCGGGGTCTCTCGTCAAGCACAATTACGAAACGAGCTAACGATACGTCGGCATAATGCGATCACGGTGGTAGGAAGTTAGTTGATTCCGAGCGATAATAAAATTGCTATTATGCAGATGATTCGATAATCAAACGCCCCGAGGTTTCTATTTATTTTAGACGTAATGCGCTTTCCTTGAACCGTTTCACGATCGCCGATAGTTGCGCGTGATATGAAGATCGACACGCCGTTTTATTATCTCACACGCGAGGGATTTTCTTTTTAGGATTACGTATAAAAAAATGTTTTTTTAATCAGCCTTTGAAAAATATAGGTATATATCCGGGATTTTGTATGTACAGTATTTATTAAAACTCTAAGAGAGAGGAAAAGCTTTCTCCGACATATTTCTTATGTCGAATATGAAGCCTCAAAGTTATATCTTTCGTTTGATGAATGGATCATTCATTTATAAAGTATCGAAATAAGTTTCAAATTTTCTCCGAATAAACACGTTTACGTAATAGTTTGCGTAAGTTATCGTTGCACAAAATTTTTCTAGCACATGCTCATGTGCCACTTCAAAGTGCATCACATACGCTTGCCAATGAGTTTGCGTAACAATCTTTGTTATGTGTGTTATGTTGTGTATGAGTGCGTGTGTGTGTGGGCCACTTCACTCCTTTCACTCTTAACCATGGGGGCATCGAAGGGTTAATGACCATCAATGATTCCTCTCGAAGATAAAAATTTACACCAGAACAGGCATACGAACCCGTTATTGCAAAACTGATCGCGCTCATTCACTGGCCATTTCGTCTTTTTATGTTTTAACCGTTTCATCAAACCTTGTGGGTGGAATAAAGTGGAACGATGACCCAATTGGCATCGAAGATCGATTAAAGTATTATCAAGTTTCTGACAAAGAAAGCAAAAGAGCGTACACGATATGCAACTATTAATCTTGATATTGCGTGGAATGTATATTTGCAATAAATTTTACTTTGGAGAAAGAGAGCGGAGGTGTTAATCTCGTAAATATGCAAAGTCGATCCTACTGATGAATAGCGAGGTGGATGGCCAAACCTTTGCTCAATAATCATGCAAAAGCCACTTCGATTTACTTATGCATCGCACACAATGACAGTTACGACCTAGATAGAAAGAGCCCAGCTTTTAGAGAACTTTCTCTTTCGGTTCTATTAAATAGTTTTCGTTCAAAACTTGATGATAGTGTGTAAAGATATTATTAATTGCGAATCACATACTCGATTAGCATGGTTTATTAGTGAATCATCTACAAGATTAGTATCGCTCGTAACCAATTATGTATAATATTGATCAATGTGTATCAATGCAACAATTATATTTATCTCATCGAGTTTATGATATTCATCCATATGTAAATTCCGATTTAACATTGAATGTATATTTTTTGCAAGATATTATCTTAACCAGTGACGATTATTTATCGATAGATAGATAGGTGGATAGCACTAAATGGCTCGACCTAATTGAAAATGAGCGATGCTCTTCGGGGCTTCGAGAGATAAAATCTCTCAAGCGTGTAAGATTGTCTCTATCTGCCTCTCTCGCGTTACACGGGAAATTAATTGCTTAGAGAAAGGCGATTCCAATCTACATGCTCTGTAAAAAAAAAAAATTAAATCTGCGATGACTCGCAAGATCAAATATTATAAAGATGATTCATACAGGGATTCGATATTTTTAATATTTTTTCTAACTCTTTAATATCTTCAATATTTTCACCAGCAAAATCCGATTACGATGAATAAATCGATAGACAAAAAAGATGCATCAATATTTTTACATTAATATACACGAGTATAAAAAATAATGCCAAATAATACAAAATCTATAGATATATGTATATTACTCGAATATTTAATCAAAAAAATGATACATAGAAGATAATTAATAGCTGAGGGAGAGAATGTTGCCAATTAAGTCCACATATAATTTCGTAGTAATTTCGGTATGTTTAGCATAATTGAAATGTCATATAATAACGAGGCACTGGCTTCCTCGAATTGCTAAAAATTCTGTTGTTAAAAAGTTCTGATGTTGTTTAAAAAACACTCTTCCTACTTTTTTGCGATACTTTTCGCGCTTTTACGAGCGTAAAACGAGTGCCTATATGCAATTACGAGCATCACGCGATTAAAATTATTCTGTCGAATAACAGACGAAAGTAATCGGGCACGGCCATAATAAGCAAACGCTTTCACGAAATATCATGTGTTAAATTTTTATCGTCTCCTTCATTAACAAGATTCCTTCATAGAAAAGTAATTTAAAAATGATTGATTCTGGGAATATGTTTATTTTCAGATAGTTCAAATAGAAACAAAATAATTAAAGCTTTTAACTTTGTTAATTTTTAGAAAAACAAAATTTTAAATATAGAGAAATTAGAATAAATCAAATTTCATTAACAATCTTTATTATACTTTATTATATTAAATAGCATGCTAGATATATTACTTGTATGAAATATCCTGAATACGTTTGATCGATTATTGATTGTGAATTTATGAAAATTTATTCGTTGTCATGTAAAAACTAATATAATAATTTCCATAAAATCTAAAATAAGATTTTTATTAATGGAATAAATCGTGGATTTTTCAAGTTAGAATAAATTAGAAAACTATCCGTCGACGAAGTCGGACATTCAGTCGCGTATCCGTGCGTCACATTATTGCGCGAGACCTTCCGAGATCATTGCATTAATCTCTGACGTATCTCACGTGCGTGCATATAATATTAGTACGCGAACGCGTCGCTTTCACTGCTGTCAAAGTAACCTTTCTGAATGCTTCTTGCGGCAACGCGTCCGTGAAATTTAAACGTCATTATACTTGAAATCTTTCTCTCTCTTTGCTAATTTTATTTTCGTTGACCCTAAAGACTACAAATTTACAAGAAACGCGATAAAAGAAAATTTTTCTTCCTTTTCGGCTCAATATATTTGGTATTTAAAAGCGTTTAAGCTGTTTCTTTTTTCTTTATTTCTACTGCTCGTATAAGATACATAAATTTATTATTATCAGTACCTTGGAGCTTTTAAGTTTAAAGTTTTGTTTATTTTCTTATATAGATAACAAAATTCTACTCAAAGTTGGGAGAGAACTAAACAATGAAGACATCATTTGCAAGATAAGCAGCAGACACAAATGTACAATACTTCAAAAGCTTTTTAATGTTAAAGTTTCAACATCTACGACATTTGCATAAATTCTAAACTACTCATTGACATGCAAATTTTTACGTAAATACATTCAAACGCTTCGTTTCTTCGATGAATTCGCGAGTGTTTAAAAAAAAGATTTTTCTCATCAGCTTTCTTTTTTTTTTTTAGAAAACGCACTTAAAAATTTAAATTTATTGTTACTGACTTCAAAACATAATTAAATGACTATTCATATTAATTGACTCGTTAACCATTTATATAATAATACAGGATATATGGTATTAACCATCACAAATGTATCAACTAAAACATAGCAGAAATTTATCAAAGTGTAATTCGACTATTTAAGTTTACTATTAAGAAACCTTTAAATTAAACAATTACTATAATCTAAAATAATACTTTTTTATTTTTCTATTTTAGAGAAACAAAGAGTTTAATATTAACAATAGACAATTCTTCTGAGCCATATAATAAAATCGACAAAATTCTTTCGACCTAGATAATTTTTATATTTATGTTATTTATTTAAAAAAGACGATTTTCTCTTGTTGCAATACAACAGACATGCTAATTTTTTTCTAAAGTAAACATTAACCACCGGATATTGACTCAATGACTTATTTGTACAATATAAGTCTCGCTAATCCATCAAAATGGAATTTTTGATGATGTATATGGTAATACTTGTGTGACACACATATTAAGAACTAATATCTGCATTTCTAGTTTTCGAGAAGGAAATTTGGGTCGTGAATATATGCGTACTTGAAAACCGTACAGATATATACGTGCCGTAAAAAAAGCATTTAAAAGAGGCTTATGCAGATTAGATGGCCTTAAGTATTGATTCGTATTATACGATAGCATGACGACATGACATGACAAAATAATCTTCTATAAATGTATTCATTTATATTGAATCTGTGCGACACATAAATACTTTCACACTTATAGAAGCCCAGACAGTACCAAGTCTAAAATTGACGCATAAGATATCATTAAGAAATCTTTAAGACAGCTTTAAGAAATCTTATGATATGATATCAAAAAGACATCTTAAAGATATCTTAAAGATATTTTATGCGCCTTATGCGATTTGGTGGTGCCTGAAAGAATATTTAGTCATATCGTGTTGTATATACGATTCAATCTTTAAATGTCTTTTAGACGCGCCTTTAATCTGCATAATTGCGGTCTTCGAAAATCTTATAAATTTGTATGTTATTTCAGAGTCTAAATATTTTATTATCATTTGTCTACGTAAATAATATATAAACAAATGGCAACAATAGAAGATTGAAATATACATATACAATAAATCTAGCCTAAAATGTGGCTTACCGATAAAACTGGTCCATTGTAATATCCAAAGAGTCAGAAGAAGTTTGCCAATCATCTCACGTCTCTGGACAATCCCGGAAACCTCTTTAAAAGTCCACCATTATTGTGAACAGTTAGAAATCCATCGTGCTACAGTGGATCGCATTAGGAAGATGCGAAGACATCAAGTTTGCCTACAGTTTCTGCTGAATTCAAAGACCGAGAAGGAACAGCAAGGTTCTTCCTATCTTTGTACCACGGGAGAAAGATCGCGATAAATCCTTGCTTTCCTCACAATCCGGGCAATTTTCTCTTCTTCTTACAAGGCTAATTTTCTTGTCGCCTTTTCTAATACATTGATGTTGAGAGAAGAGATTGCTCCATTGATAAGAATCTTTCGAAAGTTTGTGTGACAGTTTTCAATAATAACCGTGCAATTAATGTAATAAAATTAAATCGCAAAATGGGAACAACTTCCTCATCCTGTTTGTCGTCTTCCTCTTTCTTTGTGGTTTAAAAAAGATTGAAATAGAACCAGGAAAAGAGCTACGTCTCGGTGTACATTCGTCGAGTACACTCGATCAGCCGTCCGCTTTCTCCGCCACGAAAGAACCTCGGGCTCCGAATTCGTCGCTTGCGCAAACTCGTTCTTATTACTAACGTCTTAACATATTTGCGACACAGGTATATGATCACTCGAAGGAACAGTCAGGTTTCACTTCGACATACGTCGAATCAATCGAAACGCGCGCCAATCTCGAGGAGATCGAGCGAAGAAAGCAGACTCGAAGTTAATCGATTTTGCACATTGATGATCTCCGGGCGCGGGTCTTCTCTCTCTCTCTCTCTCTCACGTATTTTTTTTCTTTATGAGATCGTTGATCCGATAATTCGCCCGTGCCTGAAATTGATTTTTCGAAACGGCATAAACTCGCAATGCGATTTTTCACGGTGCGATGGTACCCGATGCGCGCCTTGCGCGCGCCAGAACAGAAACGAGGAGAAAGAGAGCGGTGTTTGTTCGCGAGCAAGGCCTGCAGGAGCACGAGAGTTGCTGCTGCCTCATGGCCTACTATAACAGAACTGACTCCCACCGTAATGTTACGCCGTCTCTTTACCTGTACCTATGTGCAGAGAACGGTGTTTAAGCGCCGTGTCTTGCAACGATCGGTCGGTCAATTGGTTGAGTCCTCCACTTCGCGGATCCCTCGCCACCTTGCGAATGCGATAACGTTACCGTAGAACCGTATTCGAAAATGACCAGAAAAAAACGCCCTTTCTCTCTTTCTTCTTCGTCAAAATTTTAAAAATAATATTTTAAAAATTTAATGGTATATCAGAGAATTTATGCCATTGCTTAAAGAAGATATTAGATGCAGAAGAGCCATCAAAATATTCTTCTCAATATTCGTATTAATTTTTTTTCCAAAGATGCAAATTAATTAATGATGACTATACAATCATAAATATGCATTGTCGTGTGAATCACATCTATAAAATAATGTATCTGCGAGCACTTACGTGCTCTTTTGTAATATTAAGAGTCGTGCGCAAAGACAATTTTTTGTCGTAGCACATTATTATATGTTTGTATAATATTTTGTAGTATTTATATTATAGTAATATTCCAAGTGTAAAATAAGTAATAATTACGCAAAAAGTAGATAAATAATTCGCAGTGCTTTTTCTCTCTTTCTTTCTCTTCAAAATTTCAAAAATAATACTTAATTAAATAAACTTAAATAAAAATTTAATGGTATATAAGAGAGAATTTATGCCATTGATTAAAGAAGATATTAGATGTAGAAAAGCCGCATCAATATATTCTTATCAATGTTCGTATTAATTTTTTTCCATAGATGCGAATTAATTAATTATGAATAAAATCATAAATATGCATTATTATATGAATCATATCTATAAAATAATGTATTTATGCGAGCATTTATGCGCTTTTTGCAATATTAAAAGTTGTGGTATTGTGCGCAAAGACAATTTTTTGTCGCAGCACATAATATATTTGTAAAATATTTTTTGTAATATTTATATTAGTAATATTCAATGTGTAAGATAAATAATAATGACGCAAAAAGTAGATAAATAATTCTACAATAAACGTTTCCGCTCTACACGTTGCAATTTTATTTTAAGCTACTCTATAAAACTAAAATTTTTATAATATATAGTACTTCTTTTTATTATAAGTTTGAAATATTTCATATCAGATATTTATATTTTGTTAGTCATGAATTAATATTTAAATGCAATTAAATTAAAGCAATAACAAAAAAAATTAAAAAAAACATTGTATTCACATTTTTTTAATTTTCATTGATTTTATATAGCAATTATAGCATTATAGATTCTTATTTTTTTGTTATATTTTATATTAATTTAATTACGATCCATTACATTTAAAAAAACTCATTATTGCAGTGGAAAACCACGCAGTTTTTACTATGTGTAGTTTTTATATTTATGTAATATTTTAATTTTTGAAAAATTTCCGATAACGCGTTATTGTCCCGTTTATTTTAAACAGGATTATTATCAGTCGTACGATAGTGACCAGCTCAACTTTCCATGACGTCAGCTGATAATTGATCCTATTATGTCGAATAATGAATGTATTAAATATTCATTGAAATAAGGGACTCGAAGCGCGATGATAGTATTGTATGCTGAACGCGTTTTCAGCACCTTGTAGGTGAATCTATCCCCCACATTATTGCTTAACAATTTTCACACTTCTGTCGCAATGATGATTTCACCGCGATCGAAAGTGCACACAAAATAATTATGCTCTGACCGATGCATTGATGCATTGTATCACGCTTCTCTAGCCGAAATAATTCAACATGCTGGACACAAAATTTTCCAATGGAATTGAATCGTGTATTATGCAATATAAAATATAATAGATACAATTATACAAATAATTGGAAACTCGAGAAAATAATCTCTCCATTCCTTCCAAATATTAAGAATTGTTTGGCATATTTCTGAGTCATCCTGCGCATATGTATCTAATTTTTTTGCACTAGTGAATTAACTAAAAATCAACTTAGAATTTTTTAATTTTCGTTTTATTAAAATAAAAATCTTTTCCAGTGCATATTCTTTTTTCTATTTAGATAATTTTGCTTCTTTTTTTTCTTTTAATTAAGTGTTTTAATTAAATGGTATTATTTACAGAGGAGAGGTATAGCTTTATATAAAACTCGTTCGGCTTACAAAAGATAAAAAAATTTACAATATATTTATCCTGTACATCTTTCGCAAACCGAACGAGTTTTTAATTAGTGATGTGGTGACATTTAGACTAATCCATCACTTTCGCTCGTCTTCAGCTGCAGTAACGAGACTTTCAATCATAACACGTCGTCGAAAGTTCATCCGCCGTTTCGTCCGGTAATTATTTACGGTTAGCGCGAGGACGAAAAGTGCGTTCCATAATATGAAGGCGAGAATCGGAGAAAGTCGCAAAGGAAATCGCTTTAAAACAAACGACATGACCGTCGTCGGTCGCTCTCTTGTCACGCGACATACCGCAGAAATGACAGCGCACGTGCGCCACTTGTGCAAAAATATATTTATCGTCTAATAACCGGCAATCATATCGTATACTATGAACCTGTGAGACCTCGAATTTTGCAAAATGTAGCATGCGTGCATATATGGACTGACGTTCAATTATCTAGCATAATTAGAAAAATAACTCGAGATAATTATAGATAAAATAAAACGCGAATTCGTTACAACGACACTATAAATTGGATCGAAGCGTAAAAAACAGAAAATTTCTTTGACGAATATTTAATATTTACTGCGATCCCTTACACCCGCGTTACAACGAAATTTCACTCGCCCAGCTATGCGGCCCTCTTATCCGGATGTGAAAACGGGTTTATTGCCCGGACGATTATTACCATTGAAAGAGGAATATTATTCGAAAGCGATTCAAACCCGTAATCGATTCGATTTCCGTCGCGTATAGTCTACTTTCTTTTTCAAATAAGTTCAAGGACGCTCTGAAGGAAAATCAACGAATTATTATATTCCTTTTTATGTTTTATAATTATTTCTATATTAAAATATATATCTTTTATCAACTTTTGTAATTTTAATAGTGAGAAAAATTAAACTCTGTGGAAAACGAGAGATTAATATTATCTTGCATAATTGTATCTTTACTTTATTAATTCGTTACCGCGTAACTATAAAGAATTACATATATTATTGTATGTTTGTGAAACAATGCTTATATTAGTGACATATTCATATCACAAGAGATACTTTTTATTTTATACAAGAGATACCACGTACTTAGATGATTTAAATATAATTCATGGTTTGTCCAATGATAAGTTGTTGAAGATCTGTTAATTACTACTATGCTTTGACAACAGAAAAGAGTTTATAATAATAGTATTTACATTTTCTCAATACTACAGAAGAAAGATTACAATAATTTAAATATTATATAAAACTAAAAATATATTAAAGTAAAACTAAAAAAAGAATAGAAAGGATTTTTGAGTAAATGCTACAAAGAACTCATAGCTTTATACTTTGACAAAGATAAAACATATTTAATACAGATTTCAGAAACGTTTAGATACAATTACTTCTTAAAGTTGAGATACCTGTTCTCATCGAAGCTATCTTCAATTTCCTCGATTATGACTACCTTCGTTTTTGGAGTACGCATCTCTAGTCGTTTCTTTTGTTGTTCCGGTGTAAGTTCCGCAATATTTAATGGGAGAGCTATTATCTTCCGTGGCTCGTGGTACTCGATCTCTATACTACTTCCATCTGGCATAACAAGAATTGTAGGATACGTTTTTTCATATATTGCTCTATGCTTCTTTGTGATTGCCGCTGTCCAACAATTCAAATTTCTCTGGCCTATCGCAGAACTGCCAATCCGTGCAAGTGAAGCAATCATTCTGAAATAAGCATTTATTAGATTATTAATGTGAGATCAGACGCATCTATATGTATATTCACACATTAAGAATACAAAAAATACAGCCTAATAACAATCCTGACATAGATACAATGAATAGTTTCTCACAAGTACAAATTTATAATTTTAAAATGCAATTTCTTTTTAAATGCTATTATAGAAAAATTCATGTCTTCTTCATTTATATGCTGCACATACAACATAATAAATAAATAATAAAAAATAATCTGCACAATACAAAAAATACAGCCCAACAACAATCTTGACATAGCTATAACGAATAGCTTCTCACAAGTACAAATTGATAATTTTAAAATGCAATTTTTTTTTAAATACTATTATAGAAAAATTCATGTCTTCTTCATTTATGTGCTGCACATACAACATAACAAATAAATAATAAAAGATACTCCATACACATGCAAAAATGTCACGTTGTTTTTTTAAGGTTATGCCGTATATCGTACGCAATCATTCGAACCGTGACATAACATACATAACTATTAAATCGGCCGAGATAATTACGCATTCATTAAACAATGTTCTCCGAGTTGATAAAATATCGAACATTGAAGAATAAGGCGAAAAAAAGCATCTTACCTGTCGTGACGATCGACGAGACGAACGACTTGATGCGACGACTTGAAGCTCTGCGCAATCGAGATATCGAGATGTGACGTTGCCGCGCGATGGATCGATGGCCGCGCGTGCTGCCGGGTATCGAATTGCGATTAACAGAGTGCGCCAAAAGTTTCGAGCGCGACGAGCGTCCGGCGTTCATTATACTTTTTTGTGCATTTACACACGGGCGTTGCGTGCTTTTGCGTGCGAATCGACGAGAATTCGCCTCTGTGCGTTCCCACAAGAGAAGGGAGAGTGAGGGAAAGGAAATGTGTCGAGATATTGCTGTTCTTTCCGACGTCGGCGGAGAAGCATCTCGGGGTGAGTCCATTATTTAATTCGGGGATGGGAGGAAGCTTTGAATTTGCGTAGAATTTTCCGTGCGAATCTCTTACGAAGTCAAATAATGTGCGATGACGATGTAAATGTCGATCGACGAGGAAAAGAGGATGTTTCGGCTTGCGACGAGGATTATTAGCCCTTTTTAAAGCGTTTTCTGACTGAGAAACAGTGCGACAAGCGAAACGCATTTATACGTTGCATCCGCTCTCGGGACTCTCCTGACAATGACCAGGCAGCTGGATATAATCGGTACGATTCCTGGAAGGAAAGCAATTACGACATATTTTTCAGGTACATATAGTAGCGAACAGCGATTTGGGAGATTCATCGATCTCCTCTCCCGGTATGCTTAAGAAAAATCTCTCGCCAAATATCGCCGGCAAAGAGAGGGCATTAAACTGGTTAGTAGAGTTAGTTGAGTTAGCAAAGTTATAATTAACCCGGGAATTAAACTAGCCGACTTTTCTTTTCACACAGCAAAAGGGAAAGTGCACGTTAAATATTAACGTAATTTAGCCTTTCATTTTTTATCGCGTTATAATTAAAGTACAAATAATTTATTTATAATAATTATTCATATATCACATCATAATTATTTATTTCACAATAGAGGTATGAAAAGAAGAATATAAAAATAAAATGTAATACAGAAATTGAAATGCACAATAAAAAATTTATTTATAAAACTAATTTCAAAATCTTTGATTATATATAAAAAAAAGTCTATAGTATAAATTTCTAACAATTTTTTTACATTTATTTATCAAATATAAATCAATAATAAATATTACATTAAAAAAATAACATTTATATATTATCAATAAAATTTTAAACAGTGCGATATGTATTATCTTTGCGCATTATTTCGTAATATAAAGATAAAAGGATAGACATTTATTTCCCGGGTTAATGACGAAAATCACACATTCATACTCATTCAAATACAAGTGTGTTTATCACAAAATTGTATTTATCAAACATCCACACATATGTGAATGGTTACCCTTCCAAATTATAATGTTTATCTAAAATGACCAGTCTTTCATCATCGTGCAATTTGAAAAAAACTTGCCGCAATTAAATATAAATATCGATAAAAATCACCGCAAAACATGCTGCATGCGTATATTATCAGTATAATGCTTATTTATCCTGTTTTATGAAATGTACGACATTTTAAATATATATACTTTAATAATATAGTATACAATATTTTAAATATAATTCGATAAATTGCACAAAACAATGAAAATCCTAAGATTTTATTATTTTTAACAAATATAAAAATTAATATCTTTATAAAAGCACACTATGCCTTTGTCTCTTTCACATAATCCGCGGGGACGTATGTAAAAAAATATACTTATAAAATACATCTATATACACACAATATATATTATACATATTTTTTGTTTACATATATAATTAAAAAAAAACGTTCCGCGGAAAAATGTGTTGTCAGAATAAATATTGAGACAAGAAAAAAAGAGTATATCAAAATATGCGTATCTTTCAATATCATGTATGCTTGTATATATATGTACCGATACGCATTTTAATTTCTAACTATATCTGATATATTTCTTAGCTATATCCGATGTACATGATAGAATGTATGAGAAAATTACTCATGCAACTTTATGCAAAATAATATAAAACACACATACATACACGCACACACACACACACACACTTAAAGATTTTAAGGGAAGGAAATTAAATCCTCGACGAAGAGACTATATTTTGCCCTTCAGGTCAATCATCTTCTCATCATTATATCTGTAAAATTAAAGTCTCACTCTATCTACAATTGCATATATAGCTTATTTGACAAATTAGATGTAATCGTACAGTTATATATGATTAGAAAAACCTAATAAATAAATATTTTATTTTTTACGCGATTGTTTAACTCATTCTGCATATCTTATTTGATATGCTCAATTCCATAATACGCAATTAACAGCAAATTATCGAAATAAATTTATTTTTGTATTAATAGTTAATAAAATTGTGCAATTAATGATAAATATTTTAAACATGCAATTAAAAATGCAGTATAAAACGAAGTTAACAAAAACATATAGCTTCCACATGCATAACAAACAATTCATAAAATACATTTATTAGATTATAGAGTATGAGAAATGATTCACATATAAGATGCATTAGTCTACTGGCAAGATTAGTATTTTTAAAAAGTTGTATGATAAAGTGACACGTGACAAAAAACAAATACAAAGCACAGGCAATACTAAAGCATATGCACACATGCATACATACCTGTATAGGACATAGTGTTGTATTAAGAAAAATATATCAAATGCCACAGAAAAGAATCCTAGACCAAATTTAGTCGGATCTCCAAAAATACTTTCCCAATCATCTGAGATAAAAATTATGACATTATAATTTCGCAAGAATTAATTACTTTCTAAATACATGTGCAAACTTTTTAAAGAAATAAATTTAGTTATATATTTTTTTTTACCATAGTTGTAAGCGTTGAGTATCATTTGTAGCATTGATAAAATGCCACCAGTAAAATCTAAGAATATATTTCCTATACTCCAGCCGACCGTGGACTTCCTTCTATAATTATAAAATGCTTGTGGTACATACTTAATAAGCGTTATACTGAGTTTGACATAACTACAGTAGTAGAGGAAATCTAGCCAATGAATTGTGTTTTGGATAGATAATATCAAAGATATTAATATAAAGATCGTAAATACTCCGTGAATAATACGTGCGGTCGTTGATACTCTTTGATTACCAATCTAAAGTAAAATAAATACATTTATTAAAGTTTTAGTTGTTGACATAAATATATTTCAATTTATATGTGATCTTTATTGTGATATCTGTGTCTCACAAAAAGCTATTTGTTTTAGCTATTATCTAGTTACCTCATAAATGAAACACTGTGCGATAGTTACAACAGTAGCAAATACTGCGTGTAGAGAGAAAAATATATCATTGACTTGTACAGGATTTAAACCTTTTGGATATCGATTAAAATACTCATCCTGAAAATATTTTAATAAATTAATCAGTTATCTTTTTTCTTACAAAAAGAATTAAGTTTCTAACATACTTAAAAAATAGATAAAATAGTCTTATAAATTAAAAAAAAAACTTTATCCACAACTTATTTATTCACGCTTTTGTTAGAGTATTTTTGTCCAAAAAATTTTATTTATAAAATTATTTCTGTATGTAATATTTACTCTCTCTCTCTTTTCTTTTTATGCAATCAATAGCTTTTATTCGAAAATAAAATCAATAAATGAACACATTTTATAATCTTTATTATTAATTATATAAGCCATGCAAGTATATATATAATATCAAAATTAAATATAGCTTAAATGATATCTTACCTCAATCTCAGGTATCCAATAAAGGCCACAATTAAATAATGCATACATAAGAAAACCGACAACATTTAGTGAGAGATAATCGAAATTAAGTCCCACAACACTTTTACGTTTATAATTAGTGTAAATTTGTGGATAAAAGCTTACACTCCATGCTAAAAAATATACCCATCCAACCACAGCACTAATGTGGTACAGCGCATCCGATTTCTCTATAGTCACTCTAACAAATGCTTGAGAGAAACTAAAAAAAAAAAAAAAATTATGCAAAAAATTAATTTTACATATGTAAAATAATAAAATTATTTTAAAAGAAATTTTGATTTTATACTGTGAAAATAGAATATAATTTTATATTTGCTCACTTTAAATCAAGAGTTTGTAACTGATCTCGTGGTATAATGATAATTTTATACATTTTTTAATAACTTATATAATTATTGCAAATAATAAAAGCTCGCGAAATAAATTTTCTTTTACACGATGCTTTTTAAGAACCAATTTTAAGAAACACTATCAAGCATATAAATACAATACAATATGAGAATAGTATAAAATTTGCAAATATTTTATCACTGATACATATTCCGTAAACGTATTTATCAATGTCACATATTTATCAACACCAAAAAATTTATTAAAATCATTCATATTAATCGCAGACAAGTTTGAATATCATCACTGAATTAACGTTGTCCGTTCGAAATCTGGATACAGACTGACAAAACTTCGAGTTTCAGCTCGGTTGACAAGTTTAGGTCAAAAGGCTATCTGTGCATTCTTAGCACAGTGCAATGAAACGTGAATATAAGACTGATTAGAATCTTTTCAGAATTAGTTACAATGATAAAAAGGCATCAGTGGCATAGGTCTCTGCTCTCTGTTGTTTATTATTATGCAAGATTTGATTTTAAATGCTTATACTACTTAAATTAAATATATTTATAATCAGTTATTATGAAACACACACACGCATATATATATATATATATATATATATATCTCACATATACATATACGTGTTTATCAACTACAATCATATAATAGCTGTAAATATAAATTTCGCAAAATTTCTACAAAACAGTTTTATCACATATACTTACTCTGTAATATCATTGGGAGTTATATTAGCGCTAACAATTGAATGGCCCGCGTTTAGACCTTTTACATAAATAGTCCATTTTTGTATATTTGACGTAATATTAAAGTTAGATGGATCTGTAGATACCAAATCAGGATGTTGTATATCTATTATAACTTTTGCAGTTCTGTTAAGTAAAACTTCCCTGCAAAATAAGAGACATATGATATAACATATATGTATATAATATATTCAAGTGCAAATGAATGAGCTATCTCACAAGTATCTGTGCGAATTGGATGATAAAGTGTAAAGTCCAAGGATGACATCACATTTTAATAGTATCATTATCCTTCTACTCTTATCAGTACTTTTACAGCATATGATAAAACCAATCTTGTCATGACTATAGCATGCTACGATTAAGTGATACAAGTAGAATGTGGGTGAAGTAATAAAATATACACATGTTGGTTTCACTACTTTTATCATTTATGGGCATCATTAATTTCTATCACTTCAGTTTATAGACATAATCAATTATAATACCAACATTGCAAATAACACAAGTTTTTAGAAACAGTGCAATGAACCATGCAATGTATAATACGTAATAGCCAATAACATCCACATAAATGCTCGATATCCACAGCACAGTTTGATTGCGATAGCTCATGTTAACAATACATAATGAACTATACTCACGTCAGAGAAAAGTTAATTGATTCTTGCTGATTGAGATGTACTTTTAAATCTTGTGGTGATACTTTAAGAGCTGCCTGAACACATGTTAAAGCTGCAAATATATAAAAGAATATAATATATACAATAGAGTGAGCGAAAAACATACTTAATATTTAAGTCTCTATGTTTTTTCTTGCATCTCACCTAGTAATATCAAAGTCCATGTGTAATATAACAAAGCCATGATTGTACTTTAACTGAAACAAGAGCGTGCAATACGCTTACAATTAGACTAGCATTATCACTTCTCAATGCGGAAGGAGTAGGTGCTATCATAGTCATTATTTCAATGTCATCATTATCATCACAATCTTTCGCGTGTCACGATATCGCGCGCGTTTACTAGCCCAAATTAATTAAAATTTGCACCGATAATACGTAGAACACGGAACGGAGAGAACGGCATGTTTAACCTCAAAAAAGTACGGACACCATTCGTTCACGACACGTTGACATTTCTCATTGCAGCTGCGTTTTACTAGCTGTCAGTCACCGACACTTGTCGATGATCTCGATGAATGACAGATGCAACATATGTTTCGCGACTTTGTTACATCATCGACGCGATCGAATTTCCGCGGCTGACAATATCGATGATATTAAACAACGTTAACGACGACGATGATGACAATATTGATGTTAGGATCATTTCACTGATGAAGTAATGTTATATATATAAAAAAACATAATATCACACAAACTTAACCCCGACAGAGCGACGATTTCACGGGAGGTTAAAAACGAAACGATAAAGAGTGATAAGCCATTAATGGCGAACACGTGACACTCACTCAGCTGGTGTATTATCTGGCGGCAAAAATTGAAAAACGCAGCAGTGCATGTGCGGACTCAGCTGTCCGATAGAGATTCTTGTTGAAATTTTTACGAAAGGCGATAATATTTTTTCCTCATATCGTAAAATATGACAGTGTTTTAGAGATAACGTATTTAACAAGAACACAAATCTTTCAATAATATGCGACTTATACATAATTTACTATAATACGTACATATAACAAATATTCATGTGATTACTGCATAATTTATGTAATAATACAGAGTGAAAATTTGATTAATTACAGTTAGTACTAACTATTAATGTGAACACTAACTAACAAGATCAGAAAATTTAATTGAATTTAATATTACTTATTAACACAGCATTCGTGTATTTCTGCCAACACTCACATATCTGATATTTGTCCTTTTCTTTCTCTGTGTTTGTTTTTGTCTTGAATCAATGATAAACTTAATACACTATATAGTAGGTCAAATCTCGGTGAAATTCCATCGGGCTTCTAAAGACTAGCGCGTGTAAATAAAATAGAAAAAAGATGTAAAGAGTATGATAACGATGATAATAATAAGCAAAAGAGAAAGAGAGAAAATTAACAATATATCACACAAAATAACGTTAACAAATTTACTTTTGAAAAAACTTTAATTTATTTTTCGCATATCGTAAACTGTCGTAAAGAGATTCGCATAATAAAGGTCTATTTACACATATCCGTGACGTATAAAAAATATCGTTCCTTTGTTTTTGCATGGATGTGTTCAAAATAATCCATAAGCAACTTATTGACAATGAGTGCTGTAACACGTCCGTAAAAAAGCAAAAATATCGTTGATAATGAAACCCAATGTCACTGTACGGAGCTGACCGCCCGTTTCATGCTAATTTCTTATTACGAGCAATTACTTAATCATACTATGAACTGAGACTGAACGATTCGAATACGGTGCTGTGCCGGATATCTGTGAACACATTCAAAAATAAATTAAGAAACGATATTTTTTTCATTGATATATTGACGAAAAATTACGGAACCGAACAGATACGGCACTGATACGTCAAGTACAAATTAAATAATACCTTAAAATACCTTAAAAATGATGAAAAACCCGGATATTTTATACAGTTAAAATGACGTAAAGTTTAACGGGGCTAATAAGTCGGATTACATATGAAAATTAATATGAGTAATTAATTAACAGAGGAAGATATGGATATGGATAATTTAATAAATAAAATTAATTTTTATTGGAATTCTCACATTCGTAACATATTTTCGATACCTATGCTTTGTTTCGCGCACATCTCTTTTTTTCATTCACAATGTTTTTATTCATAAAATTTGATATTAATATATTTTTTTCTACTCCATTATATGTAGCAAGGGTAAATTTATTTTTGTAAAATTTGTGTTACATGTATATGTATGTGTACTATGTAATTCGAAACATGAAATATATTTTTTATTATAGTTTGAATTTTACAAAATACCGTTTTAACAGTAAGATATAACGCGATGCGTGCGAGAGAAAATGAAATAGAATTTTTTTATGCTTAAAATTTTACGAATCCATTTGTGACATATATACGATTAATGCGCAGAAAAATGTAACTTTATATCGTAAAAGAGCTTAATTAGAATCGGATTAGAAGAACAATATATTTCACAAAAATGAGGCAAAAATCGGAAGATAAAAAGATAATCGCTCAGTCTCATAATATATTTACTTAAATTCGTTGTAGCATAATTTTTTTTTATTATCGCGAATTTAATTAAACGTAAGAATTATAGATGATTATTAACCACTGCGATATATCGGAAATGAAGTGTCTTCTACTTTTTCGGTGACAATATTACCATCATATCCCGTTATCGCGTATTATTCGTTAATTTATACTACGATACCGCGAGCGATTTAAGTATGAGCGAGAAATTAAAATCTAGGCGACCGAGTATAATAACGAGATTATCATAAATTAAAAATTAAAGCCCGACCGCGCCAGGCCTGTTGGATCAGCTGACTTAACGCCCGTTTCATGCTAATTTCTTATTACGAGCAATTACTTAATCGTGCGCGTCCCAATATGTGGGTTAAACGGTCACCGCTGATTAGGAAGTATAATCCAACACACAGCGACTCATTAATATTATTTTGGAGACACTAATGTAAATTCCAACACACGAATATGTATTTTGCTTTGGGATTTTCCAAGATCCTACATTCCTAAGTTTCAAAAGACATATAACATTTTATGTTCATACGAAAAACTGATGTATATGAATAATTTAATAATAAGAAAAAAATTTTTTACATTAATTATTTAAGTAATTAATTTAATTCCTTTTCTATCTTTACACGATAAAAATTATTATTAGCGCTTTATGATCATAATTTAATAGAGATTTATTTACATTTATTTAAATATATTATTTTCTACGTAATTTTTCACTTAAAATTTATACAAGTAATATAAACTTGGCATTTTTAAAAATAAAATTTACACCCGACACTGAAAAATATACTCCCAGCACAATAGTGCGGCAGTAATTTCTCTTACGACCGTAATTCTTTTTTTAATATCCACCGCTGAGATGTCATTGAAATGGAGAATGTTTCACCTTTCTCGTATATTCGAGATATTTAGGGGAGCCGCCCGTTCTCTCTCTTTCCCTTTTCTGACCCTCTCTTTCATCGTGCTCTGATACATTAAGGCAAAATGTCGACATTACAGCCACGCGTCGCTCAATATATCATTATACAAAATGTGCTTAGTCGCGCGTTGAACGACTCGCGGCATCGACGACGGCAACGACGGCGACCCTTCTGAATCTCACTCCGGGATTTATTTCGTGCGACATTATTATTCCATCGGAATTATTGGCGCAATTAACTGCCTCTAGCTAAACGGTTTTAAATACTCCGTGTCGCGCGCGCACCGGCTCTTTTGTCGCCCGCTCGGGGCCCCCGATCGATGGAGCGCGAAAAATACGGCCGCCAGCCACTCACTGCCGCTGTCTGTCTGTCTATCGACGTCATTGATCGTCGAGAAATTTTTTATGACTTTATTTTGGCTTTTTATCAGAACTTTCCTTTTTTTCTCCTGCAGAAATATGCGCTTCGACATCATATATAAGCTTTTACGTTCCTGAACTCCGAGATAAATTAGGAATTTGCTGAGTAGTCGAAAGTGAACGTTGGCGTTAGATAAAAATCGTCTCCGAGGAATTCGGAAACGATTACCTAAAATTGACGAAGATCGTTACTTGGTATATATATATATATATATATATATATATATATATGTGTGTGTGTGTGTGTGTGTCCTAAATTTCAATGTCCAACAACTTCGATATGATGATTAGATATTTTATTTACACTGCGAGACACAAATTATATCAGTAAAAGATTATTAATCATCTTCGAACGTCCGCTTTTACTCGCTCTGAAAGCCTTTTTCATTTTGCCATTGTTTGTCGCCTGTTCGATGCACATTGTTTGTTAAATATTTGCATTTGACAAGAAGCGATAATTTATCTAATTTATTTAATTTTCATATCCGTAGTTATATACATATGTAACAATTTTATCCCTACAATAACATGTGGCAGGAAAGTAACGTTCGACTGCTATGATGCAATTTTCCCTTATTTAGTGGCTTCATTCCCTCAATCATGATTTTCGTTTGAAAAGAGAGAATTCAGTTTTGCGTCGTGTTTATAACATGTTCGTATCCCTACAATGCGGAGAATAACAATATTCATTGTAAAGCGATTTTTCTCCGTTCAGTGACTGCAGTTGCGAAATTACACAGTCGCGAAAAGAGGGAATTTAGTTTTCATTAATTTCCGTTTGATCCCATAATTTATTACGCATATTCAAAAAATACAAACCGGCGCGCAATAGTCGCACATTATAAATTATTAGGAGCTGGTGCCTCTCTCGTGCATGCAGCGATGTATCATTTTCTACGAAAATAACCGTACGATTGCCAGAATTCGTGTGCATACGGGGTAGTCGAAAACAGCTGGTAATAGCTACGTCGAAATTTGAGCACTGATGCTTTTACCGTATGAATATTGATGGCCATTGTCCATCGATGTGTGAATTTCATGGTTGACGACGAGACGCGTTGTAATATTGTCGCGAGATTATTTTCACAACGACATGGAGTTGGAGGCACATTTCTCGAAAATATCGTCGGCAAATATTTTAGATCTATATTTCTTATCATTTATAAGATATATTTCTTTATAAACATATTTCTTTATCAAAAATAAATTTGATTTTCAAAGTATCATATACGTGCGCAATGTTACCGAGTATTAATTCAACATCAAAATATTTAATTCCATGTTCCATGCATGTAAATCAACTATTTTTTAATTAAATGCTTATCTTGTGTGCAAAGTAGAAATGAAATATTTTGTTGCTTCTTTTTCGTATTATTATATGTACTTTCTCGTATGATAATTTATTTTGCGATTTATTCTGCAATCACTTTATGATTTTCTTGTATGCTTTAGTGGATTATCAATGTAAATTTACGAGTTTCTTGCTGATCTATTCTCTTTATTGTGGATCTGGTTTCCAATATTAATATCACTATCCAGCGTTTGATCGTACTGTAATATCGAATTTCGTGAGGTATTGAAGCATATAATACTTAAATAGCAAAAAAATAACTAAAAATATATATTGCTAATATTTATAAAATATAAAGATATCAGAAGCGGTATAATTGTGTATCACATGCTAGGCTTTTAACACTATAAAAATATATTTACATCTTTAAATATACAAAAAGCTTTTAAAAATAATGTGTGACCAATAGATTTTTTAAAATATCTATGTTTAACAAGCAACATAAAACACATTAAGCTGTCCTCGTTGAAATATAAATTTTTAGAAACATAACAATTTCTTTTACTTTATTTTAATTTTTCTATCATATTGTTGCGTGATAGCAATCAATGTTTTATTTTATCCACATTTTGTATAAAAAAATAATTCATTACTTAAATATGTGTGAATCAAATATTTGATCTTTATATTACTTATTAATTTTGTTGTTTTATAAAATTTATACTACAGAATTGTATATTATATTATGCTAAATTGTGTAACATCTTTTCCTTTGATTTATTTTTGCGAAAAATTGATAATACAAATCTGCATGCGGTGCTTTCATCTCGTTTCTCTTTTTATTTATTTTACTTAGTTTATTTTATTTAGTGTGGGTTGTCAGTTATTTTTATATTTTGTTTCAATTCCATAAAATATATTCACATTGTTGTGCTGCTTCACGACTTTCTATCTCTAATTTCCATCACAAATTTTTGATCTCGTAAAAAATAGCGGCACTATAATATGCATTACGTATGCTGAAGTTAAAACTTCTTTAAACTGTTTTGAACTTTATCATGCTTTGAAAATAAGATGAAGAGGATGATATATTGGTTGCTAGAGAAGTAAATCTAATTTTTAAAATATAATACATAAAAATACATGCGTAACGAACATATATAAAGTCTACAGACAATTTTTAACTAATTAAATATTGTTATTGCCATTCATAACTATTTGATATTGATCTTGTAGAATCATTATAAAAGTGTAAGCGGTAAATTAAAATTTTTTATAATATCTCTTCTTGTTGAAAATAGATAAAATTATACTGTTCATTATATTTATTAACACACACAATCGTAAAAAATTTAATTACTCATTAAATATATTAATGAAAAATTTGAAAAATTATGACACTTGATTTATCGCTGCATCTTAGCCTGCAGATACATTTGTAAACATGTGAACCATCTTTTTCTGAAATTGTACTGATCGTTAAATTATTTAAATATCTCTTTCTATTTCTTTCATCGTTTATTTAATTGATGAAGTTGTTAGATGTCAATATTGATTGAGTGACACGTTTAAACGACTAATTTGGGAAAAGCTGCGACGAGTCTATCGTTAACTATTATTGAAGTGACAATAGCAAAATCGCGAAATCGCTTCTGACATTTGATCAGTCGATCGGAAACTTGATTAGTAATCGACGAGCCAAGAATACATAATCATTCATTGCATCAATAATCTCCATTTATCAAAAATATAGTCGGCACTTCATCTGATTTGACAATTATTACATATTATTTAAAACATATTATTATTTTAATACTTTTAACATATTATTATTTAAAAATTTAATTATAAAATTAACGTTTTATTAATATTTAATCAGCTGTCAAAAGTGTTAATTTACTAATTAAAAAATTTTGAAACAATAATATGTTAAAAATATTAAAATAGTAATATGCTGTAAATAATATGTTATAATACCTTATACCGCGAGTAACTTTTTGGCAAATATCAGCTAATGTCAAAAATATTAATCAAGTTTAAAGTATTGTAACACATTATTAAAATTAATATTTTTAAAATATTACTTTTAGACACTGTTTTATAATTTGTTAATTTTTGTATGTTGCAGAGCAACATGTGCACGGTAACTCCGCTGTTGTACATAATATCTGCGAGTGTTAATTTATTCTTTAATAAGGTAATTTTTACAAAAAATATTTTTTATAAATAGTGATATAATAGTTAATAATAACAATTAGATAATAACTAATAAATTTGATTTATTTCAGAATATCGAGCGAATAGTAAAAGTTCCGTTATTTTCCGTCAAAATAATAATAAAATACGTGCAAGTAATCTATAATACGTCGCGTCGGGAGTGCCGTATAAAGTACCGTGCGATTATTTATTAATTTTTATGCGTAAACGTAATTAACCGTGTTGTCGCGAGTGTTACGAGTGCAACAAAGGAAAAATGACCAACAATAAGAGAGGAGGAGGAGGCTTGAGAAGGCATCGGGCAATAGCGGGGCAACCGTGAGGTGAGTAAATTTTAATTTAATACTTGACTCTTTTATGAAATTAATTGTTTATTTATTTTAATGATCCGTTTTTTGTTATTGTGTAATTGTATAATATGCCTAATGTATTTTATATTTTATTGTAAAATATTAAATAAATTATTTACAATAATATTTTTTAAATATAAATAGATAGGTATACATATTTTTTAGAATTGCATTGTGTGATCAAAATTTTTAAATTATTTAATTATTTATATACAAATTTTTAATTTTCACTTATATTATAATAGTTTAATCTTTCAGAAAAATCCTTTTTGTAAAAACATTTTTTGTATAACATCTTTTTTGTAGTATTTATTTTAGTAGGTAAATAAAAATTAAATATTAAAAATAGTCAAAAAATTCAATAAATCAATATTTAACGTAATTATTATTTTTTTAAATATTAATTATTTTAGAGATTGATTTATAATTGATTAATATTTGTATTTTGCAGATCAATATGTGCACTGCAACTCCGCTGCGCGTCGTACCGGTGAGTCTTAATATGCTTTAATCGGTCTGTTTCACAAAAGTATTATTTTGCGTAGCGTGCGCTTGTGTTATTCCAGCCAAACAAATTATGAAATATTTAGTTTCTTTTGAAGATTTTTCTTAGCAATTATTTCTGAAGGGTCTTTTGATAATAATTGTTATACAAATTATTTACATTTGTGACACATTTCCATTCAAGGAGGTATATCGATTTTGAAAGAATACAAGTACACCTGTGAAACCTTTGTGATCTGTACATACGGTGCTCGCGTAACGTGTTACCAAGTGAGATTATCGTTTTAGTTGGCAAAATTGCAAAGTGTAAAGTAGAAATTCCTGGCATACAAATTATAACAGTTAATAACCAGAGCGCACATACATAACGCGTAAGTAGATAATCGAATTAATTGCGGCGCGCGCGTTCAAATAAATATATCCTCGTTCTCGCGTGATAAAACCGTGCTGTAAAATTCAATATAATGCGAGATATAATATACATATCGCGCGCGCGCGTGAGATATAGGCAATATGCAATTTCCGCTCATGGCCGATAACGTGTCATCGCGTAAATAAATAAAAATGATGTCGTATGTTGTTGGCGGAACGAAATCCGGTCGAATTTACAAATCAGTGGAACGAGAGTGAATATTACACCATTTGTTTATCCCATTCCGCCGAATTGCTAATTCGTGCCGAGTGTCCGATATCCTCAAACAATAAGCGGCCTCATGGATTAAGCTCCATTTATGTTTTTCATTATAACGATCAAATTATCGCGTCGCTCTCACGTTTATGACTTCGTGGCGCGCGTTACGTTGTAATTTTATTTAACATTATTCATCGTGATAATGGAAATGAAATAAAATCCATGCTGGATCGCAACGCAAGCGATGTGAATAACTCAGAATAATATAAGCTATATTTGAAATTAATTCCAATTAATTTTCTAGATTGAAATTAAATTTGTAAAATTCAAATTTAATTCGATAAAACACGATCTTCAACCGCACTATTTAAAATTAATCACTCGGAACTGACTGAAGTGTCGTTGATGAAACGATAACTTTTTCTAAAATCTAGGATCTCAAGAACAATTTTTGAAATGCTTTATTCACACATGTTTCATCGTTTTACATTTCAAGATCAATATATCTGCACTGTATCTGACTATATGTATAATGTGTCTCTAGCTTCATATCTTTAATTAATTGAGACTTGATTTCTATTTTAACATGACGTGCGCAGATTTGTTAATATATTATGCAAATAATAATTAATAATTTCAAATATTAATTGTTAACATGTTTGACTGTCAAGCGCACGAATTAGCCGAGAAACTAACTTACTAGCGTAATTCAATTATTTTATTTATGACGAGAGAAGATTCATTTCGTGAGTCACATGTGCATCAATAACAAAATCGGTCATTATTCTGTGACTGATCGATATCGCATTGCGCATATAAAATATGCAACATATGTTACTTAACGGATGCGTTCCTTGAATAGAAAATTTTGTGGTATTAAAAGAAGAATTGGTTCGCAAGAATTAATTATATATTATTCATTAACACTAGCATATTAATGCAAATCAATCTTAATTTTATTGTATGAATTTTTTAAGAACCAGATTCTTTAATTAAATTAAAATCGATTTTTTTTTAGTTTATAATTGAAAAAAAATTTCACGAAGGTTTGTACCCTTTTCTTTACTCTTTTTACACTGATTGAAAAATTGCGCGCGATCAATATCTTAAACTCAATGCGTTCGCAAAAAAACTTTTTGCTCGCAATGTCAGCAGCTTGCGCAATAACACGGTAGGTACTGCGCTACGCTAATCAAGAGCGAATGCTACGCACGCTAATCACATTTTTATCGTTTCTGCCATAGTAATGTTGTCCGTTCACCTTGACTGATCGAGAGAGTTCAAGTCGCTTTCGATTTAACCGGCTATAACGTAGCTTGATCGATCTCCTTTCGTTGCTCGGTAATGGAGTACGGAACGAGATGCTTGGTCTCGAATTCTGCATCGCGCATATCGTAGATTCGTCGCGAAATTATCATTCGTTGCGAATAACGGATTTTTGTTTACAATATGCTGTAGGCGATTTTGCGGAATTTTCAACGAAAACAACTTGCGTCGTTAACACTGTATTTGTGCGACGTGTTTGCTGCTTTTTGCCGCTATTCTATGCGACGTCGATAAAAGCGCCGTTCTATCTAGCACGAAGAAGTTAAAAAGCTCGCGTAAGCCCGTGTGCCCGATCCAGCGTGTTCATGAATAATTCACAATTTATTGAGTTTTAATATCAATATCGACGCGATCGCGGATTAATCGACTGGCACGACCGACCAATATTTATGTACTTTTCTAAGCGACGTTCATGAGACCTGTCACGATATGTTGAGCTTTTTTTTTCTACCGATTCAAAATTATTCATTTCTCAATTGACGTATGTCAATTGTAGTTGTTCCGTAATGTAAATGGCTTCATCAAAATTTTATCATTTTATTCCATTTTCAAAAAATCCACATTTAAAAACAACAATAGTATACCGTAATATAGACGTAACAGAAAGGAATAAAATTGTCAGTATGGATGACGTTTGCAATGTTTTTATAACAAGAAACTTGTTTTATTACACATTTATTAAAGATATGCTTTCGAAGTAAATCTTAATTTTATCTGCGATAGCAGATTACGATGATTGATTGTCCTAATTAAACAACTTGTAACAACGATGATGATACATTCATGAAGATATTCGCGATAACAACTGATTGCTCCTTTTTTCTGTGTCTCGCTTTCGTTATATTATGCAAGACTGCCGCTGATTAATTGATATGATATTCAAGATAGAAATTGACAACAAGCAATTTCGATTTTAAGAAAAGATAGTATAAAGATTACATATTTTTGTGTAAAATCATTTTCATATTTTAATTTTTCTTAATGAAGATTTGCATGTTTACATTATTGTACAATTTCTTCATATTCTTTACTTCCATTAAGTTTCCTTTAATTTGTATAAATATAATGTTATTTATTAATTTATCAAAGATTTAAAAAAATATTTCTATCATAGTTATTAATGAATAATTATCATATAATCATTTCAAATCTCATAATTATTTCAAATACATCTACAATGATAATTTAAAATTTGTGAGAACTTAGAGATTATCATTTTATATAAAACACTTGACTTTGAAGTAATTGTCGAGAATAATTATTTTCTGCTCGACATTCTTAAATTCCATGCAAATATTACTTAAGACAATTGTGTACGCGCGGAAAAATTGTTGGGTGTGTGCGAGAAATTCTTGGGACTTACGAAAGTGATCGTGCGTGCGTTTTGTTATCACGTGTGCAAAACGTGTTTTGTGACTTACGGCCTATTTGCAATCACATTCAGTGCCCTCGTTTTCCCTGATTTCGAATAACGACACGCCTGCCGATAGCTGATACAAAACGGCTCACTGTCCTTCTCTCTGTCTCTCCCTCTCTTTTTCGATCGATTTTGATTTCACGGCCAGTTTCACGGAAATTAAATCATTGCACGATCGGCGAAAATGACGGATCACTTTGTCGTAAATTCATGCGGCGCAAAATCCTCACTATTCGTCCCCGCCATATAGTGATCGTTTAACGGTACTTTATCGTGATAGATGTGTCTCCCTTTTAGCGTTCCTTCAATGAACGTGCACGCGGAAGAGACTCCATGCGATTGACGATTTATATATATATATGTATATATAGCACCCCATAAGGATGTGCGTATAGCGTATCGCGACAGAGTGGAAGAGGAATCAAAGTTCATTTTAGCATATTAAATTTGAAAAAAAGCGCACATATGTGTACGTGTGTGTTTCACGATTGCGGCATTAACTACTGGTTAAGTGTAGGCAGTAACGTAATAATTCATCACTTTATTCAGCTTATTTCCGTCGCTGTCTCTGACATGCCGTTCATTATATTTATCGCGGCGTTATTTCAGTCGATTTAAATGATTGTTACGATGCGGTTCTGCTGGTTTTTCCATTCTTGATTTATATCGATAAAAGTTTGCGCCGCAGCGCTCACTCACCTGTCAAATTTCGCTCGCAGCCGCGACAGTTAAAATCTACCGTCGAGATGCAGAGACGTTCAATCTCTGCGTGTTACAATAGACTTCACGGGATCGTCTGTAACGAGAAGCTCTTTATTAAAGGCTGTTGAAATATGCACGTCATTCGATGACAGAAAAAATTTTTTCTTTAAGTGACTTCTTTTTTTAAGCGACAGTATCATTTATTTTTCTTTGCTTCATCCCATCTCTATACCAACTATTAATTTTTGATTGACTAAATATTGATATAATGTAATCATGATGATATAATGTAAGAATTGATTGACTAAATATTAATATAAAATCGATAATATATACGTTATGTATCAACAAATGTCAACAGAAAAATAAAATTAGCAAGCAGCAAAGATATTGTGCAAATATTTTGAAATTAAAGTCTTTATATTAATTTCACTTAATAATTACGTTCCAAGAATTTGCTTTTGTGCTTCAGACAAAAAATTCTCAATATCTTATAAATTCTCTGTATGTCATAACAAATAAATTTAAAAAACGTACCACTATCTCGTTATCGATCAATCAATTCAATTTGAAAAATACGTATCACATATCTGAGAAATTTTGCAATTCTGTTACATCTAAAATTACGTAGTTATCATCCCGGTGAAAAAATATTATTAATCTCAAACTTGGCACCGTATAATGAATCTAGTTTGTCGATGATTTTACCGAATGATAATGTCGACTTTAATCTCCAATCGAAATTTTATTGATTGAATTTTAATATTTCCATAAAATTGAATATATTCGAAGTCCTTACAATCGCCCGTAAATTCATACGGTTTTCTAGTCTTGTTGCCCGAAGAATTTGAAATCAATATATTTTCCCTTTAGAAAAAAAAATTAATTCATCAATTTTTACTTATAATTA